ATGTAATCAGTGACATAAGGTGACCATTGCTGATCATGTCAATAGTGAAGTTTAGTGTGTGTGTGTGTGTGTGTGTGGTCAGCGGGTGTCCTGGCTATAGGAGAGCCGGGGGCCAGTCAGGGCATTGTGTGTGTATGTGTGTGGTGTCCCCTTGGCCCCCCAGCACAGCCCCGGGTGTCCCTGCCCCCCTCACTGACAGGCTCCTGAGAAGCCCGGTTACTTGAGCCCGGACAGTCATGGCCGGTAGCCGGGTGACATGTGCACGGAGCAGGCGGTTCACACAGCCCGGCCTCACACATACAGGACATCTGCCCCATTGTCCCACCACCAGTAGGCACTCACCGTGCGGACGTGTTGCTGCTCCCCGGGGAGGGAGAAGCGGAGCGGGGACAACAATAACAAAGTGGGCTTTTCACTCAGCCCGCCGCTCTGCTCTCTCTCTCACGACGGTGACGAAGAGGATGACGTCTGGGGACGGCTGAGGAGAAGGGGGAGGAGGAGGGGGAATCCGGGCACACAGCAGCTCTGCCGCCGGGGGTGGGCGGGGCCTGCGACTGAGCAACAACAATCTGCCATCCTGAATGGAGCAGGGGACTGGGAGAGGGCGTGTCCTGAGGGGAAACGGGCGCCATTTTAATTGTGGGCAAAAGATTCCATGCGTCGCTCTAATGTGCTGCTTCTGATTAGCTTGTCAGGGCTGGAGCTTTGATGCCCAATCTACACACTTATAAACAAGGCGATAATTGTCAGAAGGCGTGCACATCAATAAAGTTTTATTTATAAATAAGCGTAAGTGGCCATTTATTATGTTGCGCTTTGGTTGGAATGGCTTTGTTTGGAATAAGAAAAGCTAGTCTCTAGGAGTAGAGTCCGCCAGGCAGCTACATCCAGAGGTATGACGAGCCCGGGTCCCCAACATCATTGGCGTGCAAGCAATCCACAGCTAAATGCCTGCCAAAGACAATGGGGCTCAGTGCTGAGCACTGGCACAAAATGGAGGTATTTGCCTAGCAACCAATCGCATACCTGCACTTTCTGTGCTTGCAATTTTCTGATTGGTTGGCAGGTGAGTGTTATCTGACGCTTGCCAGACGATCAAATCAGTGAACAATTTAGCCCAAGGCTTACACTGTTTTGTAATATAAGCCTTCTGCAGAATGACCCTAGGAAGAGATGACTACTATATACATGTCGTCATTTTGTGGTGTTTTTAAATACAGAAAGTGTACAAATCATTTCTTAGCTCTGGCTTACCAGCATGGTAGTTTGCAGTCATGTGCTTGTATTGTCTAGCCAGATTTACACTTTCAGTTGACAGCTCAGACAGTATTTACTTTCATACATCAGTATAAGGTTCAGAAGTGAAATGACTGCTAAATCAGAGACTCAGTCGGACACTAAACCTGGCTATAAACATTAAGAAATTGCTGGGATTGTATACAACTTACCCTTATAGTGCGGCTATCACCACACTGGAAGGGTTAAGTGCTTGTTTTATCTACAGGGGCGCAAACAAAAGATATGCTCATTTGATCCTCGATCCTGTGGCAGTCAGCATTCACCTCTCTTCCCCCCTCCAATATGGCTGTGGAATGTCCCTCTGCGTCCTCACCTCTAATGCAAGCCAATGGACCTGCATAAGATTAAAGGAGAACTATGGGGTTAGGGCTTTTCCCCATAGTTATCCGAAGGCTAACGGGAGGACACAAACTAGGGTCCTCCCGTTACCCAAAGCTCAGTATACCGCGAGCTGCAAATCGCGGTATACTGAGACGCCGCAGCTGAAACGGATCCCGACAATTGTCTGGATCCGCCCAGCTGCGTGATTGACAGCTGGCTCTGCCTATGAGTATTTAATAAAATTTTTCACTAAATATTGTGGTTTAATAAGGAGTTGCGCTAATATTGCGCAACATAAACATTTGCAACTACCACCATTTTATTCTATAGGGTCTTGGCATTCAGAAAATATATAATGTTGGGGGGTTTTAAGTAATTTTCAGGCCTAAAATGTGGAATATAACATGGGTACAAAAAATGAAAAAAAGGCCTCAGTCCAGAAGAGGCTATGTGGGCTGCTCTAGCAGCCAAGTGGGACTGAGGATCAGGTAGGTATATATTTTTTTTATTTGCGCTACTAGACGCTACAGGGGTGGGCATCTCCGGCCCTCCAGTTGTGCTTTAACTAAAAATCCCCACATGCCTCTGGGAGTTATGCTGGTAAATGTCAGTCTTGCAATGCCTCATGGGGCTTGTAGTTCCACAAGGGAGACCATACAAACTCCTTGCAGGCAGTTTCCTGACCAGGTTTCAAACCAGGGACCCTTAGCCCTCGTTCACACCTGAACGTTTTGTAGCGCGTTCTACGCTCGACGAACGCTCTACAAAACGCTCAAAAATATAAATCCCATTGTATTCAATGGTCTCGTTCCCACCTTGGCGTATTTCCGCTCGTCCCCAACGCGCTACAAAACGGCCCACGCCTGAAAAGGTACATGTACTACTTTGGGCTGTTTTGTTGCGCGTTTCCATTGGCATACAGCCAAGTAGCTTTCGGAAACGCGCAACTTTTTTACCGCTGGGCATATTAGAACACCATGGCGTTTTTTCTTTTAAGCTCACTTTAATTCCGTTTTCCTGGGGCTTGTAGTTGCCCACCCCTGCCCTAGACCAAAATGAGCACTTTGCCCTTCCAGTACGGAGGTAGCCCTAGATCAAGGGTTAGTTTGGTAATTCCTGGAGTTTCTCTTTAACCTTTTCATTCTTGATTTTCCCGACCACACTGAACAGCATGGATAGGGAAATCCCCCCTCACGTGGGTATTTTATTTTAACAGTGCTGTCAGAATACCCAAACAGTGGCTGGGAAAAAAATACAGCTGCAGTGCGGCAACTCCAGCACTGCAAGGGATAAATGCTAATTTTTTTTACCTTAAGGACTTTCCCTTAAAACAGAATTAAAGTGAGCTTAAAAGAAAAAACGCCATGGTGTTCTAATATGCCCAGCGGTAAAAAAGTTGCGCGTTTCCGAAAGCTACTTGGCTGTATGCCAATGGAAACGCGCAACAAAACGGCCCAAAGTAGTACATGTACCTTTTCAGGCGTGGGCCGTTTTGTAGCGCGTTGGGGACGAGCGGAAATACGCCAAGGTGGGAACGAGACCATTGAATACAATGGGATTTATATTTTTGAGCGTTTTGTAGAGCGTTCGTCGAGCGTAGAACGCGCTACAAAACGTTCAGGTGTGAACGAGGGCTAAGGGTCCCTGGTTTGAAACCTGGTCAGGAAACTGCCTGCAAGGAGTTTGTATGGTCTCCCTGTGTTTGTGTGGGGTACTCGGCTTTCCTCCCACTCTCCAAATACATGCTGCAAGGTTAATTGGCTCCTGTCTAAAGGTGCCCATACACTTTACAACCCTCGCAAGACAGGGATTTCCTGCGATTCTCATACGATTATCGTGCAGTGTATGGGCACCTTTAGTCAGCTCTGTATGTATGCATGTGAGATAGAGACCTTAAATTGTAAGCTCCTTGAGAGCAGGCAGTGATGTCAGTGTGCACTGCGTAAATTGATGGTGCTATATGAATACCTACAATAAAGAAACAATCCAGCGCTCCTCCCTTACCAGAGTCTTCATTCTGGACCTGTTTCAAGTCTTCGGCTTCTTAATTAGCTGGGCTCCGATGATGTAGCTCCTGCACATGCACACAGGATTTACTTCATCTTGACATGCCAAGTCTGTGCGCTCAGTGTACAGGTAAAATAAATTGCTGAATGGCAGCAAAAAAGCTTTTACGGCAAAAGAGACTTAAGCTGGCTATACACTGCTCTATTTTGTTTTCGTTCAACCTGCAGTCTGAACAAAAACAATAGAGTAGATTCCTCCATCAACGCTAAGAACGTGTTGATTGAGAAATCCCTGCTGTTTGTTTTTGTATTCAGAGCTCATTGGCTGCCGGCTCTGTTCGTCTGAAGATTTCCGACCAGCTCCTTCAGTCAGCTGATCAAGGGATGCCGGCCGAAAGGGTGCCGACAGCGGCACCAACTGTGTGAATTTCAGCCGGTTCCTCAAGAACCAGCCGCAATTCGTATAGTGTATGGCCCGCCACCCTATCGCAGTCTCTTCTGTCATATAAAGCCTGCCGATAGGCAATTCTTTTTTTTTCTTCCACTTTAAACCTCACTCTTTTCCCAGGAGAATATAACCTGATTGGTTACATAACTGTTGGAACGCACAAGATTTTTGTTTCCGATCCTCAAAATCATTAACGATTGATGTTACTTTGGGCAGCTGCATTTACCAAATTCTGATATGTTGTCTTCTGCCCCCCTTACAGAAAACCAAACCCTTACACAGATATGGGATGCTGTACCCTGAAGACAATATGACCAGAAATGTCATCTCATGATCAGCTACTTCCTTGTGGATCACATTGACGAGTGCATATGTTAACACCAGCTAGACCCCATAGTCATGGTTACATACTTTTGCCTTGACCCTTTTAAACAGTAAGCATAACATAGTAAGCATAACATATGACGTCTGAGATGTTTATCTTTGCTAAAACATGTGAAACCTTGTCTGCTTCCAGAATACGTACCTAAGGTCTGTTATGAGTCACATGGTCCTTACACAGAGTAAGCCTAGGTTCTCACTAGTGCTGCTGCATGATAATGCGTTTTGTTGCACTTGTGCATGCCTTTGATGTGTTTTCATACTCCATGCTTTTTTTTCTTTTGGCCAATGACAACCAATATCTGCTCAGATCATTAGGTGTCTACTTCCTTTGAGAAAAGAAGATAGAAGTCCACTTTTTGGTAAAAAATAATACATGAACACTTCTTCATAAAAGAAAAAACATTTGCATTTATTATTGTTTTGCATTGGAGCCAGTAAAGGATTGAAACAGTGATCAGTGGATTGCAGGTGCAATGCTCTGGCTCCTTCCCATCACTGACTGTACCAAAGTACAGGCATTCAGTAACATGGATGGGAAGATGAATGAATGCACTACAAGTGCAATGACTTCAGCACACTTGTGTTACATTGAAAACTGCAAGCCCCTCTGTCGTAGTGGCTGATGGGACTTGTAGTTTCTCCATGTGAATGGATGACACGACTGTGTGGCCTGAGCCACGCACACCCGTGCCAAATTTAGAAAAGATCAGCGGCCTGTGGGGAGAAGAACACCATAATTCAGGTAGGTTGTGGTGCCGCGGGGGGGGAGGGGTTGTGTTGTGATGTGACCTTAAATATGGGTGTAACATAAAACATGATCCAAAATGTAAACTTAGTCTTTAAGTACAAAAACACATTAAAAAAAGTATGTATACCCCCACCCCAGGGGCAAGATTTTGAGCGGAGGTACGGCTTGTATCTGGGCACATTATCATGTACTTTTCCAAGGTGGTTGCTATTGTTTACAGCTCTGCTACTATCACCAAGTTCGCTCAACTGATGCTGCCTTTGTATGTTGTTTTACCTTGTAAGTTGTTTTATTTTTATACTTGCTTGTGCAAAAACTTAATAAACACTATT